TGCTTGTGGACATTTTATATAATATTTTTTAGAAAGATGTAAATAAGATATTTAATATTTCACCTCGGTACTTGAAAATAATTATTTACGATTTATCTGAGATAATTAAAGTATTTCATCGGTTCAATTGCAATCACGTAGAATAAAGGTTTATATCATTGGTAACATTTTTTAAAAAAAATAAGTGATATTATAATATAAGAAGTATATTTAGGGTAAGAATTAATTATATAATTATTAATAATTATATTATTCTATAATTATTATGAATACAAATGAAGCGTTATTTACAACCACATTATATAAATAAATATTTTTATTTTCTGCATCTTCGTATCAATTTATGACTATTGAACCTTTTTCTTTCTTCTGGGAAGGTTGAGATCCAGTATCCCCCTACCCGAAAATATGTCATTGTGTAGGTATATGTTGTTCACATCGATAGCAGGACCGATAGATTGTAAAGAATCCTTACTGATCCTCCTACTCCTCTGTCATTCTCTGTGTCTATCCTGCGTCGCTGTTGGACATACTGCAGCTCATGCAGTCTTCAGTACCCTGCAGTTTGTATTTTACAACGGTAGTTCGACGGGTTGTTAATTCTTGTCTTCTTGTCCGTTTTAGTGTTGAGTATTTTTGCTAAATGGTAAATTAACACACTTTTATTCACGCGATTGGTTTATTTTATTACATACCATTCAGGAGAATATTTTATTAGTGTGTTTAACATCTCAATAGCAATGGGCATTGTTTTAGTAGTTGATGTTGAAGTAATCGGCGCAATAATCGGAAGAAAACGTAAGACCCTAGTAAATATACAGCTCCAGAGCGGAGCGATAATAAATATCTCATATAACAAGAACAGAGATTTAAGAAATGTGGAAATTACCGGCACCGATGATGAGCAACATGCGGCATGTGATTTGATCAAAGAAATTTTGGGCAACAAAATATTGGAGACATACTATATCGAGAAAGAAAAGTCGTCCGATCTCGAGGTGACCTCCGAGCCGACCGATCCCGAGATGGTTTCTGAACGATTCGCTGCTGGACCATCAAATGTATAAGACAACTATATATTTATGAAAGTATTTACGAGTATTCAATTATGAATTGCAAGGATAGAAGCTTTTTTAATTGAAATTTTTTTTTTATTTTCAAATTAACATTTATATCAATTCACAACTGCCAATATTATAATAAAAACTTTGTATAAATCTTATTTCTTTGTACAAACAAAACTGATTTTTAATTAACTGTTACTTTATTATAAAAATTTATTAAATAAAAGAATAATTAATACCGAAAGTTTGAAAACAATGTGTTAATTTTTAATATGACCTATATTCTTCTATGGATGCAGTTTACTGAAGATTTCGATCATCACGGTATCAAACAATTATTGTATTTATATTTGATTGAAATAAAATAATATATGCATCGATAACAAGTGTAGATGTTGAACGTACTTTTTCATTATATAAACATATTTTAAGTAGCAGACAATACAATTTTCAAGAACACTATTTAAAAATGTATATAATTATAAACTTTAATTAAAAAATCTGATATATTTGGTAAATATTATATTAATGTCCATAATATTATTTAAGTAAGTAATTAATGAATATATTTGATATATTTTACTATGTAATTTTAATATATTTTTCATTGCAATTTTGTCATCTTTTTAATGTAATTTTAAGATATTTTTAATGAAATTATATCCGACCTTAAGTTATGATTAGAGCTCGGACGTTAATGACTAAAATTTCATATAAATATGCATAATAAAATGTCAAAATATGCAATTATATGCCATAAAATGTATAAAATATACCTATTTTTTCAACAAATATATGCAAAAAAATAGTTAATTTTAATTAAAAAATCGTATATATTCTTTTGAATGTGTATTTAAAATTACTTTATTACAAAAAACACAGTTTATTAACTGTGTTAAAAAAAAAATTTTTTTCGATCTATTAAAGTTAAATTTTTTATAGGTTAAGCATTTTAATTATCAAGATGACACTATAAAATAATAATTTTACTGATATTTTCAAATTTGAAGGACTTTCGACGACCCAACAAGAAATTTTTTTAGACTGAAAATGACACAATTAACAGCAATGATTAATAATTTATAGTAATATGGAAATTTTTAATATTATACTTATAATTTATAAAATATATGTTACTTAATCTAGAAACAATCGATATATGCATTTATATGCTCAAAAATATCAAATATGCAAAAATATGCAATATAAGTTTGCATATTTGCAATCGAGATTACAAGAATCGAATTTATGTCATATTAGGGTTTAATTTTGGTTACGCAAAAAAAATATGCCAAGTCATAAACATTCGGGCTTTAGTTATGACATAACGATAGAATAGTACAGGTATGGTACAAGGGGCATGGAAGCAATGGCCCCCTCAAATCTCAAAAAAAAAAAAAAAATGCTGGCGTAAATTATTATAAGTATATAATATGTATAGTAGGTAGTACAATTAATTTAAACTTAATCTTCAATTGAATAATATCAAAACTTACACAAGAAGAACATTAAATTATTTTCATAACATATTTCTATATCAAAGATATAATATTTTATAAATATATTCATTAGCCCTAAGCACAATTAAAGATATTATCATGTCTAAATGTATAAATATTACCGTAGGATAGAATATTATTGATACATTCATAATGATAATTGATAATCTCAAATTATGACTTTGTAGGTATTGTATATGTAGTAGATACCAAGTACCATAGTACATTGATTTGACTTTATATTATGATGAATATTATCTATAAATCATTATTACCAGGATTTGGATTTAATATAATTGAAAACTATTGAAATACGCACTATAATATCACCAATAACACCTTAAATTGTACCCTAAAAATATAAAAAAAAAAGAAAAGAAATGTAAATCAAAATTAAATTAAATTTATTATCTTTTACTGACAGTTTATTTTATTTTTTGAATTATTATCTATAATATAATCTTATGAATTAATAAATTTATAAAAAAAATAAAATCACCTTCTATTAATAATTAAAAAAAATTGTGATAAAAAACAAAAATGTAAGAATTTTTCATATTATACATAAATTAATACTATTTTCAGTCAATATAAGTATTATTTATAGTAAATACTTTGGCAATATTTGGTATTTGTAGTTACTTGCTATACCACCAGATCAGTATACTTGTACAATATTATTTGTCCTTGATACCATTTCCAAGGATTGGTGATAAATGTGACACAAGTCAAAAGAACGGCCAAAATACTTAGTGATTCTACAATTGGTTAAAATAGTAAGATATTAGTATGTTGAATTTGGATCAGAGGTATCAACATTAGTATTATAAAAAAAAAATATATATATAAAAAAATAAAGCACGACACATTAAAAATATTTATGTAAAATTGTATTATTAAAAAATTAAATTAAAACTAATGTTTGATAAAAAAAAACTGTAAATTTGGTAGAAAATTATCATTTGAGTACTTAGAATTCAATTAAAAAATATATACATTGAAAAAATAAAAATTTGAAAAATTATAAAGTTTAAATATTGGGTAAATTATGAGTAAATTTAAAATTTCGTTAAAAGTTAATATATTTATTAGCTATAAATAGGAAGGGACAAGTTCCCCTTTTGCTAACTAGTACTGTCTTTGTCATTTATCATGGTCCAATAAATATTTGACTAAATTATGTTAAATCATAATTTTAAAATAATTTATTATTTAGCAATTGTTTTTGTCACACATAGATTAGGAACACTTTAATTATTAATTTATACTTCTGTTGCATACCGTCAATACAACAGTTCAGATGATGAATGTGTAAGAGGATAATTTCAAATAATTACTCAATTTAAGTTAAATTGTTATTTATTGAAATATTTATAAGTACAAAGTATTCATTTAATTCAATAATCAGACTGGCATGAAGGTTCTTGCTAGGATTGGACTAAAACACATCTCTTCATTGGCCTGTTCGGGACTATCTTATATACCCCGTAGATGTGTGTGAATCTGTGTCACTCTATTTCCAGGAACCACATTGGCCATTCTGGTCTTTTTATGTACTATATCCTTAAATGGTTTACCTTGTAACATGTGCATTAGTTTTATTATCCTACAACCTTTTGACTACTGTAATCGTGCTATTGGTATTTCTATATATTAATTATATAGAGTTGTTATGATACTCTTAACACATTTTTGTGAAAATATGGTCTTCCCATGTAATAGCACTCGTAAGGACCTACATTTATGTATGTCCATAACACTTAACACAAATAAAAATTTTAAATTAATTAACTCATTAAAAATTAAATTTATAATATAATATAAAAAAATTATATATTAAAATATAAATAAATAAATAAATAAATAAATGCTTAGCCCTAATTATTATTATATTTATAATGTACAACTGATTTATAATTAAAAATTAAAAATCAGGTATACACAAAATAAATTATTATTATTTTTAAAGTTGTGATTTTATTGACTTTATAGGTATATACCTAATACTGCATTTTTAATTTGATAATGGTTGTAAATTACAAATATAATAGCACTTCAGGCTAAGTCTTTATTTATTTATATATTAATATTTTTAATTATACGATAATACAATTTTAATGAAAATAGTCATAAAAAAAACACTTATTGAAATATTTCAAGTTTTTAGACAAACAAAATAAATGATATTGATTATCATCTCTCTAACTAAATTCTATGAATATAGGTTTACTTTGTAAATACCTAATTTACTATTTAGCTTCAATTCATAAAAAATTATTTTATATTTAAACATTATTAAATTCATCTTTTTTTTTTTTATGAAAAAATGTATATAAGTACATTATTTGTTCACTTTTTGATAGGTTAATTTGAGTAGGTATATAAACCGAATGAGTCAATTAGGTAAAAGACCTTAAAGAAAAAAAAAATATACATATTCTTTCATCAAAAATAAATATAATCTATATATTTACAAAGATTAAACATATAAACAAAAAAATAATACTTTCTTTTTTATGACAGTAGATTCCAGTTTGGCAAGATAGTTTAAATTGTTAGCGAATTGTCCCTAAAACAAACATTAAAGCATACAAATATATTTAAAATATCAAGTAAGTGAATTACCAATTTAAGTGCATTTTAAGTCAAATGTTAAAACAATCATCCTATAATTAGAATGTTTACTACTTTATGAATAGGTCACAGAATAAACTTACAAAAGTTTAATGTTCCCAACCGATTTGTTTCTAGAAAACATCTTACAATGATCAGCAAATACTAACTGAAAGTTAGTCAGTTCTATGCATCAATATTTTTCAGTTTCAAAATTTCTAATAATAAAAAAAAGTTTCCAGTTGTTAAACATTAACGTTATTATAAAACAATTATCACTGAACTACTAAGTGCCAATTTTATAATCGTGAAAAATACATTACTTACAGTTTGATGATAGAAGTGCTAGCATATATGCGTACACATATGTGCTACGTGAAAGAAATTCAATTCAAATTTCGGTCATAACAAAGAATTTTTGCACTTTTGAATGTTTCAAAACATAAAAGATATGGTTATCATCAGTAGTAACGCAGGAATTATCATGTCTGGTGATACCTAATCATTAACAAAATTTAAAGATTATTACAAGGATAGTCGATGAGTTGAGAAATAACTGAATGATTGTTAGTACCTACTTAGTATGACAACGATCGTGATAGTATCGTTTAGTTAATTTGGACAATCGTGATCTGAACGTACGGTTTTTGCACCCAGGCCGTGACGGGTTTGGAAACGGTGAAACGGGAGACATAAGTCAACGGGTTAATGTCAAACTTGTGAATACTGTCGTCACAGCGATTACGTTGTGTACGTGTTCTCCGACGTCTTAAGTTAGGTTACATTGATCACGGAATAGTAGATACATCTCTGGTATACATGGTGTTGGGTACGAATGTATTGCGTATTCAATCGATGGTAACACACGCACGATGTAGAGCTGATATCAGATTCTTGGTAACACGATGTATTTGCGGAGATTTTCGTTTCCGTTGCTGTAAAGTTGTGATAATAATTAATAACAGAACATCAAAGTTAAGTCGACATCGGAGATGTATAAAACGATAAAATAGGTATATATTATATTATTTTACACTTACGTTGTTATTGATCATAATGGATACCGCGTTAATTTTATCATATTCGAATAATGTTCGTAATTATTATTGTCAACTGACGGCCGTTATCAACACTAAATTACTAAACGATACGGTTTATCAATGATTAATATCGTAATTTATCTTCAATTAAATTGTAATGGATGCATACAATTAATATACAAACTAAACTAACCTATACTTATAAACGTATATGTTTGGTAGTAATTAATAATTATGCGTAAACATTTGTGCGATACAAGTATCATACCCAAAATAATTACAACTATTTTCCAGATAACTTTTATACATCCGTATTTAGATATGGTGTATCTAACATGTATATATATATATATATAGGTAATATAATTATATTTGTGCACAGATTAATAAATTACCAATGTAGGTAAGTATATAATTGTTATAGAAGACGTAAAATATTTGTTGTATATTGAGCTGAACAAACATAATGTATTTGTTTAAATTCGTTTAATGTCGTCTGTTGTTCAATTGTTGTGTATTGCAAATAAAACTTTCGAGCCTAGTTAATAAATAGGTACTGACACGGTTTTCTAATAAAGTTTATTGTGTTTTTTTCTTTCTATCTAAAAGATAACGATTATTCAATGAATATTATTACAAATAAACTGTTAAAGAGTTTATAATTTAATAATATTTTATTCGGTCACAATTATTTTAAAATTATTATAAACATTAGTTTAACATAGAATTAAAACTTATTTATCTTGAATGTTTTTAAAGTTTAACCATAAAAAACAATAATGTCTTGTACATTGTACGACTTGATACGATGTCAAGTCGAAATATTAAATGGCTTAAAATATGGATTGATTTTTTGATTTATTGAGTAAGTAACAATAAGTAACTTTATTTTTTAAACTATTAGAATATGATTAATGAACATGAACTATACGGACACAAACATTTTGAATATATTTATGAAAATAAACTATTATAATATTAGGCACAGTATGATAAGAGATCTATTCGTATTACTTACCTACTGTTAATATCATTATACAATATAACATTTATTAATATTTAAAATATTTTAGAGTTAAAAGCTAACTACTATTTCATAATTTTTTACATAGGCGTTGTTGTGCCGGCGCTTATTAAATAATAAAATTAATAATAAGTGGAGCCTTCACGATATTGAGGTAGGCAACTTAAAATGACACACTACCTCAGCGTATTCAAATAAAATAATATAATAATGAGTAATAAATAATAATAAATAGTTGGTGGCAGTTACTTTATTGCAATAATTTAAATATCAAATTGCCTATAAGGCTTAATAAAATATATAATCAAAAATAGGAATATCAATGCCTGTTTGGCACAACAATGCAAATAAATAAATATTATAAAATATAACAGTATAAATATGACAAATGTCTGTTTAGCACAACAATAAAATAGAGTATAAATAAAATGACAAATGCCTGACTGGCTATAAAATACAAAATGACAGAATAATAATATGCCTGAATGGCTACCAAATTAAATAATAGTATTGACTTAATAAGACCCGTCGGTTATACAAACACAAATCATCGGTCGAACAAAACTCATATAACAGTTAAGACACACACCTGATTTTACACCCACGCTACGGCACTAGAGCCTGTAGGTATATCAAAATTTTATAATAAAACAAGTTGACCCTGCGTACGTACGAATGTGTGCCAACAATTGTTCACGAAGACTTCACAACAATGAAATAATGAATTCAGCGGGAACAGAACCACAAGGTACACCAAAACACGTTGAATCACAGACGATTAAAATCAACAATTCATAACAACGTGGTTTGGAATAAAATGTCTACGGACGTTCGAAAAACTTGACATAAAAATTAATGATGATGTGCACACCACGAAGACACATAGATGAGAGTGAGACGGTACCGGTGACATTCACCATGAAGGCTATGGCCGCCGGACACCATAATGATAAAAATTTTAAAGATAAAACGCCTCAGTGCCACTACACAAAACTGAAAAACACACGAAATTAATGAAACTTTGTGGCACTGAGAGCATGAATTTAACTTTTACTAAAACATAACCGACAATTTCGACACGTTCTGTCCTCCTTCGTCTTTATCGTTTTGAGTGAGAAGAACAGCCACCTTGATTGCTGGACGCTTGAACTCAGACCCAGACGAATTCCGTAACGTGAAAGCTTGCACAATTCCATTAGGACCAGGATGAACCTTGGTAACATGAACTAGGTCCCAATGCAGTGGTGGGTTGTTGTCATTCTTCAAAATTGCTAAGTATCCTACTTCAATGTTTCGAGTGAATTTGGTCCACTTGCCACGTCGTGACCTAATTGTGACAAATACTCAAAATACCAACGTTTCCAGAAGCTCTTTGCTTGTGCTTGCATGAATTTGAATCGATGTAGACGGTTCTGTGGTATGTCTGTATAATCTGGTTCAGGTGGGAGCTGTAATGGACCACCAACCAGAAAATGGCTGGCTGTCAAAACATTGAAATCAGAAGAATCGCTTGACAGTGACGTTAATGGTCGTGAATTCAACGCTTCTTCTATACTGTATAATAATGTGGTAGTCTAATCAAACGTCATCATAACACCTTTAAAAAACACGCAACAAATGTTTATTGGCTGACTTGATCGCAGCTTCCCAAATTTCACCAAAATGAGGGGCAGATGGTGGTATGAAATACCAGATAATGCTTTGGCTGTTTAAGAAGTTGTGTACTTTGACACTCTTTTGGCATTCCTGAATATGAGTTTGCAGGATTTAATCTGCGCCGACAAAGTTGGTATCATTATCGCTGAACAATTCTCGACATTGTCCACGGTGAGCCATAAACCTGGATAAGGTGCTAATGAAATCTTGTGCTGACAATAAAAACATGGAATAACGACAACATTTTCATGCGATGATAACAGCGTGATTACGTACCCGGCCGGTCGCACACGGAGGCTTATCGCCACCGTCGACAATGACTATGGATACGCAACGCACCGCAACACGCCACTGCGAATGAATATAATTGGCACTTAGTTGTGTAATAAGACGATTTATTTTTATATAGAAGACCTACAAAAGAAACAAGAATTAAAACCTTATTGTGAAAAATAGTATTCGTCTTTATTTCACAAAATATTTGTTTACGCGTGTCATGAATATTAAATTTATAAATAATGTATCAGAAAAAGGATTAATTATTTATTTATTTAAAAAAAATTATATATACAGTTATACAATATAAAAATTGTATAAATATGTACGAGTACATTTCTTGAGTCAAAAAAATGTATTTTATATGTTACGGCAAAAGTCCAAAATTGGATAATAAACCCATTACCCGGATAATGTGCACATTAGCAAAATTCGGACTTTAGTTGTGAATAAAAACTTTTAGGAAATGGATTATATACAGGTACATTACCCGTATCAAAAGCCATCGTGTTATGGCTACTTTAGGCTCTAGCCTCTTTCACACAGTCCGTTTTTTTTAACGGCAACGGAAACGGATTGGGTAAAAATAGAAAACGGAGAGATAAGAAACAGTTTTTTATTCTAGTTATTCACACTATCCGTTTTAATCAACGGACAAATAACCCACCGGTCCGTTAATGGACAACTCGACGGATTGCCTCGATATATTTCCGTCGTTGGAACGTTTTTAAAACGGACTGTTTATTAAGACTATATTAATAGATATAACATTTCACACTTTCCAATTTTGTGTCCGATAATTTTTATCCGGTACCCGTTTAAGTTTAGTAAAGTTTAGTTTTTATTTTCATCCGATCCGTTACCGTTGCCATTAAGGGCATTACAAACGGTCGATTATTTCAACTAAAACATAACTATCTTTTGTCAATCATACCGATGGATTGAATAATGCGATAAGATTTTTGAAAACTGTTTTAAATTCTTTATAATGTGTACTTTAGATCGATCGGATCAATTTTTAAAATTTTGATCGCTAAAATCTAATAATACAGGATACTCTATGGTTTGAATATTTTAAAAATTACGAAATTTTAAATGTTGATTGTTCCAAGTTAAAATAAAAAAAAAACTTGAAATGTGGTCCGATCGATCTTATGTAGACAAAATAAAGAATTCAAATCATTTTTTAAAAATCTTATCGCATAACTAGGTTGAAGGGTAGGATTGACAAAAAGTACATACTTTTAGCACAATAAAACTTACGTTCTGGATTGTTCACGCGTGCGACGCGGTGTCGGTAACTTGTACGTGCGCGTGCGGAAGATCAATTAGTGTTATCCAATTTTATATCGTACTTCAAAATAAACGTACCATAAAAACGATTTACCCTTCCACAAAACCGCATGTATTTATTGATACTAAAATTTATATTCAATAATGAAAACAACTATATTTTATAAAATATATATATATAAACTACATATATATATATATATAAACATTTCGGGGGGGGGGGGGGGTTCAGACATCCTGGACCCCCCAGAGACGGCCATGTGGGTGGGTTTCGACAAAATTTACTTGTTATTGTTGATACTGACATGTGGGAACTTATTTTTATTATTATTACTTTACTTATCTAAACTTCGTTTTTTTTAGTCTGATGTTATAGTTTTTTCTATACTAAGGTTTCTTTGGAATTTAACCATGCTCTGAAAAGTTATAAAAATATTAGAAATATAATATCCGATAATGGTTAGTGAGAATTTAGTTGCCTGATATTATAGAGCCAATTAGCTACTTAGATTTTACGTACACGAATTGCTTGATTTACACAATGGTTTTAACGACTAACGATTATATTTTAAAACTTTTTCTAATTTCACGTATATTTATGGACATAATAGTTTTTTTTTTTTTTTTTGAGGGTACATAGAAAGAGTAATAGTAGTTTTGGGTAATTAAGTTTTAATATTATAATACCTAACTTAAACTAATTGAAATAAATTATCTCTTTTGCAAACAAATTATAAATACAATGTTAATTGGCACCTTCGTTTAATATTCCTTGAATATTACTTCCATAAAGTTCATATATTTAAGTTATTTCTTTGTTCTACCAAAAAAAAAAAAAAAAAATAGTAATATGTATAATATTTTTTATACCATATTATTTAT